CATCTCTTAAATCATTTATAGATTTTATGGTACATAAAGCATAAGAAATGAATTTTGAATATCAAATAGTTGAAGCAGTTGTTGTATTTTTACATCCTTCAGCGCTCGAAAAATATGAACGACAATTGCAAACATGTTGGGAGTGCTAGTAATAACTAGCAGGAAAGAAGTTTGTTTGTCATTATTCTGTGTATGTCTGTTCTACAAAAAATTGTTCAAAATATCTGATTGTGAGAGCCAACAATGATAAGATTATCAGCCATCTGATGTTCATTTAGTTAACCAGTTCCACGTAACTTTTCAGATTACATAAAGTTTTCTGGAAATGTTCATTCTTAAATTCCTTTTTATTTTTATTTAATTCAGTTTATCACTTGAAATTATGATAAAACATAGGATTTTTTTCTCATATGTAGCTCGATAAGCAACTTTAAGCAGCATTCAAAGGTTTATGCACATAAGATTTTCTACAAAACTGTAAATATATTTGGAAATTATCCGATTGATACCAAACTATAAAGTAATATATTTAATACAGTTTACATTTCTGGCAATTTATTTTTACTATCAAACTCTCGGAATATGTTTCTTTTCTCTTTAATAGATTCATAATAATATGATACATTCTCAGAAAATGAACTTACAGTTGCTAAATTCACTTCATATGCTTTTCTCAGAAATTATTTGAGAATAATTTTTATTACCATTCCAATTTCGAAATTTTATCTGTTGGAAGCAATAAGAATTTAAAAGAAAGGCAATAATTTAACTTCAAAAATTTGAAAAAGTTTAACGAAATTCATATAAATGATCACAGATCGGTGAAACATGATCCTTTCCTTCTATCTGGAAATTATTTTCGTCATTAGGTGACGAAAATAATTTTTTTTTTAATTTTTCAAATAACAAAAATTAAGTTTCCTAACATCGTTATTGTAAACGAACGATGAACAAAAAAGAAGCACGTATCAAGACAATGCTTATATATCTGATTGAGATAGACAATAAATGTATCAAAATACTACATAGATTTTTAGTGATGATTTGATGAGAGGTATTGTTGATTAAAGAAAGTAAAATGGAATTCAGCAAGCTTTTAATTTTCAAAAATTCTTTAATAATTTAAATTTATTTTATTCAAAGTAATGCTAGAATGAATCAAATTTACGTTGAAGAGAATGCGATTGGGACAGAAATCTGGAATAGCACTTGTAATCATTTCCTCACTGACAATCATCAAATTAATTTCATTTCGTTCACTTGAAATTTTTTTAGAAACAGTGTTGTATTTAGTACTATTCCGAAAAGTATTTGGTAAGTGACTTTTTTCAACACATTCAACAACATTTTGAGCTCCATCTTCCTGAAACAAATTTTTTTTCTTTTAATTTCCAAAATTGTTTCCTTTTTTTTAAAATTGAAGATCTAAAAGCATATGGACAGAAATTGAACAATGAAATCAAAAAAAAAAAACTATTTTGAAATTGAGATAGAGCTCAGAATTTACAGTTAGTGTGAAATCCTCTTCTTTGCAAAGAATTTTTTAACTAGAATTTAATTCTCCACTTCATAATTAATAGAATTAACAAATAAATAAACACGTACGATTGGAGTAAGAAATCGGGATACATGCATAGCCTTTAAAATTTTTCGCATACGCGGTGAGATATTGCTACTAAGCGATGTACTTACAGCACCAGGATGGACAGCAATTGCTTGAATTCCTTCGATACGATCAAGGTAACAAGCCAACATTGCTGTTGCTAATTTTGACCTGCACAATGTGCAAGCATTTAATAAAACCACCTGGCTTTCTCATTTTGCGATTTTTTTCTATTTAAAATTATCGTGTCACACATATAAATTACGACAGTGAAAATATGAAATTCGTACGACCTGGCATAGCTGAGCCATCCAGAAGTATTATTCGACGGCGAAAACATTTTTCGCAAGCGATCACACCTTGAAGATATCTTCAAACACATAAATCTAAATCAAACATAAATTGAAATTTATTATTTCTTAATCCATGAATTTGATTTAGAATCAACTAAAATAAAGTTTGCAGCATATTTCATCACATTTGATTCCTACAAATATGTTGATTTATCTAAATCATTCCGAAAAAATACTTTTTTAAGTTCTAATCTGCAATTGACTTAAGTAAAAGTATCAAATATTTTCGCAAATCATATTTGAAATTTGAAACCCATGAAAATTTGTAGTTTTTAATTTGTGGTTTGAAAATAAATTTATTCTCGTAGAAAAATAAATAGGATTCTAATGTCCTTTTTTTGACGATAAATCCGGTATGAGTACACCAAAAATATGGCAAATTCGAGTTCAATTTCTTGTTTTGATTGCACTGTAAAATTTGTTTGCACTTTATTTCACTGGATAAGTGCCAATAAAATAAATCGACCCATTTTTGATTCGAAGTGAACGAATGAAATTTTCGAATAAAATACATAAAATAATTAATGATCTCACGAAAAAAAAAGATAATCATTTGTTTTTTTGATTGAAATCTTATTTCAGCTATCAACGATTTAACTAATAAATGGATTGAAGTAAATCGTTTAAAAAATAACTTGTACCGTAGTTTTCGTTCAGAATAACTATAACCGTTTTTATAACTTCCCTAAACACATAATCAGGATAGCAGACAATCTTGAACAGTGTTAAAGAAATTTCTAAACAAAACAACCGTTTTTTTCTCTCTCTCCCTCTTTTTCGAATCCTAACACTCAATAATTGGCCAAAAATAAAATTGTGATAAGATCAAATATCCAGATAATTTTACTGTTCTTTTTTTTAATTATGATTATGATAATTTCAATAAGTTTATGTTTCCTTCATATTTTAACATTTGTTTCCTTCCCCATTCTATTCCTTTACTGAAGTACGGATAAATTACTTATGCAAAATAGACGTAAGTACAACAATTTTGATTCCTTCTTTTGGCGTTGCAACACCTATCAGTTCATTCAACAGGTAGAACTGTGACAAATAATTCACCTAAAATTTGCATCTAATAAAATTCAATAAAAATTTATAATTATACCGCATTGCATGCATATTCTTCGTGAAAGATTTAGATAATAACAACACCTGTGATAAATAAGTGCAAACAAACAGGTGGATTATATGACAGAAATATTATTCTCTCTTAATAATATGATTTAAAAAAAATACATCATCATTTTAAAAGAAATCAATTAAAATAAAAATAATTTATGAATTAATGAGAAGAATTTAAAGTAATAGGAGTACTGTACCTGGAATGTGGTATCAAATCCATCATTTGTTTTGCATATTTTTGGCAGTAATACACCAGCATTTAAAATAATGATATCATAATATCTGTAATAATTCATTATCATCAATAAAACTTCAAATCATTTTGTAATAGAAGAAAAAAGTTTTTTTTCCTTCCTAAAACGGAAAGCAATAATTTAATCTTCCAGTAATAGGTGAATCGATTACTGTTTGACAGAGAATAATGTATTTACTACTGTATTCATTTCATAGTTCATTGTGTTGCGATGTATATTTTTGAGGATAATAAAAATTCTCTTTTAATGTATGAATAAATTTTTTTTTTCGAAATTTTCATGGCTGTATTATGAAGCTTTTCTAAAATGTCATATCTGATCTTATCAAACATAAGGCAAGAAATTGGGAATCTTTTTGTCATTTGCTAAATTTAAATCTGATTTTATAGCTTTCTTAAGCAAATTTTATTGTACTTTTTGTGTTTACTTGAGCATTCCACTTAGTTGTTTAATGAAATGGGATGTGAAAATTCTAAGAGATTTATGAAAGTTAAGATTTCCTCATCTCCTATTCTACAATACTGAGAAACGTGAAATGTTACCTTTTTTGAGCAACAATCACACTAACACTTTTTGAAACTGATGATAATTCACACAGATCAATGATAATAAAATCAATGGACGCTCTATTACTCTGAAGAAGTTTTTTAAAATTATAGAATAAAACATCGCACTGTATGTATTTTTTCTGATTTTGTGTAATTGATAGAAGCACAAGTAAATATGATAAGTGGCATGGTTTAGTGACTAAAATTTTATCCACCTTATATCATCTTATTTCTTTTAACTCATTAGCTTCGCTATTTTCCTTCAATCATTTAAAAGTAAAAAAAAATTTTTTTAAAAAGGCATGAAAATACTAAGCATTGCTCATTTTCTTCTTCCTTTTTGCAATAACATCTTCATTTATTATTAAAATAGTACAAAATTAAATGAAAGTAATAATTTAGAATTGCAAACCAATCGTTTAATAATGGATGCACAGGCATTTTTTGCCTTATCAATGCTACGACATGCAATGGTAACGCGATACCCTTTGGCACATAATTGTAATGCGGTATGATAACCTAAACATATATTTTAATCTTTTAATCAATCTATATCATACTATTTATTTCTTCTGGCAATTTAATTGACAAGTGGATTAAAATAAACGAAGCAGTTGGCAGCAAATGCCTTCATAAGGAATTCAGGTCATCAATAAGGTACGCTATGGATCACATATCCGCGCACTCCCGATGTTTTGAATTTCATATTACTCTTCGATACGGACTATTCATGTTTGTCTATGATTGATAAACATGAATAGTCTCCTATGTAAAGCAGAACTTTACGGAGTTTATTATATCAGTTTATTATTTTAATAGACAACTAATTTCGTACAAATTAATTGTTATCAACGTCTAAGCAGATAATTGTTGATCATAAGTTCTTGAAATCTTTCCAACTTCCATTTACACTGCTTTCGACACTATTGAAATGAACTTCAAGTTACTCCTAGTCATTTTAAAGTTCTCGAATATTTTCCCCCCATAAGACTTACACAGTGAATGTTAACGAAAAATATAAAACTTATATTCCAGTGAGAATGGATATGGTAAAAAAATTCAATATTCAAATGAAAATCATGGCTTATATTCATTATTGAAATGATGATAAAATATGGCAAACCTATTCCCTGATTTGCTCCAGTGATAAGAACAGACTGTTGTCGGTGACGACAGACCGCCATTTGAAAGATATGTCTTAAGTAACTGTGCAGTTTACCTCCAAACAGTACATAATGAATATGTATAATTTGTATATATATATATCTGATATATATAAATATATATATCAAACAATTGAGAGGTTGCTCCGCCCTTTAACGCTCAAATAATAGTTTGATTGAAAGACGTTTTCGAGTAAAATATGTCCAGGTAGGAATTTAATTCCCTTCTTTATCCTTTTTGTTTTAATCGAACCCCTTACGCATATATTCTTTATTTACAACTATTTTTCATGTTGTATTGCATCTATAAATCTGATTTGCAACATTAACTTCGTGCTACAACAATTCTGTGCAACATTTCTGTCGCTTTTACTCATTTAACATGTTTTCACTACTCGATTAATTTGATAATGGTCACAATTAAAACTGTTTTAAAGTAAGGGGGAAAGGTAAAATATTGCCCTATACGACACAACAGAACTTTTAACTTTCTCTCAATTAAGATTGCTATGATGGAACTGGACAAGTGGAGAATTCGAGGAAAGGAGTAAGTTGTCATGCCACCGCTTCTTTGAAATCTCTTGCACAGATAATTCACCATTATTAACAAGCAGTATAAGATAATCATGTTTAGCAGATGATCGTTTAGCAGAATACATCTTTTAATCACTGTGCATGATATATCATTGAAATTTCTCCGAACTACAAACAGTTATGAGTAAATAAAATGTTATTCCATAAACGAAGGTTGAACATCCAAGGAATCATGATGTGTCCTACTATCTCTCAATTATCGAGTGTTGTTCGAACAGATTACAAAGCATTTATTGCGCATAAATGAAAAAGTATAGTCATTTGCGGCATAAATAGAGAATGTTCAAATGAGAATTTGAAAACGGATTTGGACGAATTTCAACTTTCTCAAAGCCAGCATCACCAAGCAACTGTTTAATTTTTTCACGTCCCCACATTGCACCAAGTCCCAATGCACCTAAAAAATTGCAGTGAAATAAATCTGACTGATGCAAAAGTAAAATATAAAAATAAGTTACTAACAACTAAACAATCGCGCCCAGTGTTTCGAAGCATTTTTCACTGCAGAAAATTTTCCATTTCATTGTGGTATACGGAAATCCAAATGAACTTCTGAATAAGCATTTCCCACTTTTTCCGAAAACTTGGCTTTAAATTCTCGGTAATTCAACAAATATTACTATTTTCAAAATGATCGTGAATGCTGAATGTAGGAATGTCTAGAAGACATTTCACGGTCCTGATCAGTCACCGGTAATAATCAGCAGTTACTTGTGACAAAATTTCAACGAAGTATGTTCAGTTTTGATTTTACAACTATAAAGTCATGTTATGGGACATATACAGTGGGGAAGAATGAGCAAAGTAATCCAAATTGCAATATTTTAAAGCAATCCGGAAAAATTTTTTTCATTTAAAAAATGCTCAGAAAGAAAAAAGGATTATTTGTCTGTTGCTTTCAAGGCTATTTATCAGCAATATTGATAATTATAATAAATAATTTGATAGAAACCACTAAGTCTTCTTGATATTCTATACCGCTTAGTTTCACGATACTGATAAATTTTTATTTTTAATTCACGCTGAGAACTAATGCATTCGACAGAACAGCTTTTGGTTATAAATAAAATAAAACACTTAGCAAGAGGACTTAACATTATTGTAATTTATACAGATGAAAAGGTAATATTTACCTTCAGATTTCATTGCTACGGGAAGGAAATGTGACAGTGACACGCCATACATGTATGTGGATATATCCATTTCTTTATCTTTATAAATATTTCCTGTACCATCCGTTCCAATCATCGAAAACAGACCATCTGGTTTCAGAACCCGATATATCTCTTTCAAGCACTAAACTACACTTCTTTTATTCATCGACAAATCTATTAAACGATATTGTATCTGAGAACCTAACCAAAATTATAAATCGTTATTAAAAAGGAATAGCAGCAAAATGGAAAAAAATGGCCCACGTGATCAGGTTTCATTTGGTTGCGGCAAGCATCAAACATCATCACCCAATCAAACTTTTCTGTCCATTCATCCTTCATCATCTGATCATCCATTTGCATATATGACACATTATCGAGGCCAGCATTAGCTTCATCTCTTTTCTTGTTCGCTCCAACAACAGCATCGAGTGAAAGATCGATTCCCGTGAAAAAGCATTTTGGATAACGACTTCCTAAAAATTATTAGCGGCCAGTTCTTACCGTTAGGAATTACCAACAATGTGACTGCAAATAGATTAAACATATAATTTATTACGGTCCTGTTGATTCTGGCGATATTAGTGCAGACCAAAAAATTACCTAATTCTGCAATATGCATTCCTCGACCACAACGTACATCAAGAACCTGAATTCCACCTTCCTCCAGTTTGTCTTGCATCTCTGTTACAGGTACAAATTTACTGATAATATTTCCTCTATAAGCAGCTTCCGAAATTGATATCATCGTTTTATCAAATTCATCAAACATGTTGCTGCCCATCTCTGAAAATATCTCCAATTAACAACAGAATCACTACTTTTATTTTGCTAATGAATTTTATGAATTACTGAACTTTATTAGCTATCAAAAATTAAGATCTACAGAAACAGGGAAAAATTAATATTTCAGATTTAACATTAAATTGAATAGTATGTCACATAATATAATATTCAATTTAATATTAAATCTGAAATCAGCTTCAAAACAAAAAAAGTAACAATGACATATGGTACAAAGAGATCTGATAGCTTACAGCACAAAATTAAAAAAAAATTACAGTGAATAGGGAAGCAGTATCAGCATTTTAGTGGGTTTGCATTTAAATATCACTCAGAAGCAAGGAGATGGGGAAAAGGTATCACCACCAAACAAGTACTGACCAATGCAGGGAATGTAGGAAGCGGTAAAACACGGAAAGATAGAATGATATATGAAAGTGAAATTACGAATATGCTTTATCCTATGAAAGTAACTCTAAAAAAACATGGTAAGAAAACCAAGCATGCAAGCACAAACATTCTTCGAGAGCGATTTTCACAAGAACCAAATCCTTCAACAAAACGAATTATACCTGGCGGTCCATCTTTCCTGAAGAGATCGATGACAGTAGGATACGCTTTAGCACACGCAACAACAAATCGTTGGATGACAAGCAATATATTCGGTTTATCGCCACAAAGATCTCCAACGCGATTCTCTTTGATCCAGAATTTTTCGCCACTCTCATCCACCTCAACAATTTTACCACAGGCCATAAGACATAACCATTCGCGTACATAACTAAAATTTTTCAACTCAAAATTTCAAATACACAAATCACTATATATCAAAAGTTTATGATGCAATATTACCTTTGTTTCATATCGGCTTTTTCAGCAATTGTTGTGCAAGTGGCTGGTTCTTTCTCTGATGATACAGCTGCAAGAGCATCGAATAACTGAAGCTCATGTCCCATGACAAGTCCAACAGAGAGCATTCCATCGTTCAGTATTTCCTGCATAACATATTATTGATATCATTAAAAACTCAGCAGTCCTGCAATCCTCGGACTCATATTCTCATATCTACTACGCGACTTCAATGGAGAAATGTAATGTGCCGTAGATTCATCGTTTGTGCTCTATTTCCGATGAGATTTGAGTGGCATACTTCAGATTCAGTAATTCATCTCTTCCAGAATTTCATTCTAATCCATCACTGGTAACCAAGTAAAGAATGAGAAGTGGTGACGGAAAAGATAACGTCAAATGGCACTTACCAAGAGACGTTTCGAGAAATCTTCCATTACAGAAAAGATGATGAAATTGAAATAACAATTTCAGCAAGTACGGATGTTCAGAATAAAAAATGAATGAAAAGAGTGAAAAGATGATAGGAAAAGTAAAATATGAGCAAAATGAACAAGCTGCCTCGCAAAGACAAACTGCACCATAAAACGGATGGAGAGAGAAACTTCACTAGTATCACAAACAAATATGGAACAAAAGTGCTTTCTGTTCGATATATATATGGTGTATGGCTTGCTGTTGTTGCTGCCATTTTTTTTAACTTTTACAAACCAGTTCAGGTGTTATTAATGTAACCTTTTCTATAAAAAATCTGCAAAGGTCTGATGAGCAGTGAAATAGTTAAAAGCTGGTAAGGAATACGGCGCTCTTCCACGATGGAAAATGCAAAAAATGTTTGAAAAGCAACGAAACAAACAAGCATAGGCTCGGATAAATCAATATCGTTCCTTGAGAGAAAATACAGCCCCTCAAGTTGAAATGGAAAAGGAAGCTCTTGTAAAAACACACTCTTTGATAATAGAATTATCTTGAGAAGAATTGTAACTTTCTTGGAAAAAACATTAATTTCATAGTTTTAAAATATATCAAAAAAAAGCTAGAAAAATCAATCATAAAGCTCGGGGAATTAATAATCCCTCAATTAGAAAGCTACCAACAGAAATTTGGAACGATATGGCACGAGCATTTGCATATTGCTCCCAGAATAGTAACAGACAAAATTCTACTGGTTTAAACGGATTGGACGGCTCAGTTCAGGTTGGTTACTGAAGTTGGAGAGGTTATGGGTTTTAGAGAGGGGAGTGAGAGTGGGGTAGGGAGGGAGCGTTGTCGGGATTGGAGAGGGGGAGGAGGTGTTGTCGGGATTATGTGTCAGGTAACTTAAGTTATACGGAAATTTTTCACAACAACCTAGAATAGCAACATAGTTCCAAAACACTCAGCTGAAGAGGTAATGATTGTTTCCTTAGAATAACGTGTCCAATGGTTTCTATGGAAGTTAATTACCGTAGCTGCCGACATTGTTGTAGAATTGCAGCAGTCAATAATTAACTGGTTTCTGAAAAGAAAAAGATTTAAAAGAAAATAAAAGTATTGAACTTTGGATTTTGTAAAGCCTATCTTTGATTAAATGCAAGTTTTGACTTTTTCTCTCTTTGATTACCGGTGCTGATACATTTTATATTTTTCTCTGTCATTATCTGTGGTCAGATTCCTCATCGACTTTTATACTGCTATCTTGATTTCATTTAAATCTACTCTGTTATCCTTCCTCTGTCATCTGGTCAAGTAAAATATTGAAGCACTCCAGTAAAATAAACGCTTTACCCTGAGTTGAATAATATAATAGCCGTTGTATCACCCAGTTATCACAACTAATATGCGGTTACATCCTAATACTCCCGTGAATATGACACTGAAAATCCGAACAGCAAAAGTTATCATGAAGTTATTATTAGCTGAGAGCTTTGCTGAAGTCATAACAGATGCTGTGTTTCTTTTTCATTAACTGCTGACTATGATTTGGAAACAGCTTTTTATTTGTTTTAAAGGGCTTGCGGTATATCATTCTAAATTTCAATTAGTTTTTGACGAACTAATCAGCTGACGGATTAAATGAAGCCACATGACAAGGCTGTGCTTTTTTAAGTCTTTTGGTGATTGTACTATATCTGAATCCATCTCACTAACGAGCGATTGGGTGGTCTTTGCGGTTTTACCACCATGATTTAATTCTGACTGAAGGAATATCCGTACTGGTCTACGAAGCTCGGTAGTGACTGGTCACTACCGAGTTTCTTAGCTTTTCTTTTCAATCGAGAAGCAAAAACATCTCCCTGTCAATGCTGGACATTGTTTCTAGTGCTGTTCATTTAATTGGTTTCGGTTTCGGATTTGAGGTTGCGTGCACATATAAAGAAATATCGCTTCGAAATGAATGTGCTCTGTCTGGTAATTAATAATAGCAGCATTTCGTTGAATCTGCCATTTTGTAAGTAAGAAAGTTAGTAAGTTGCTAACGTTCATATTTGTTATCTATTAGTGCTGCTGACGAATTAGTAAGTTATGTGGAATCTTTGAATTGAAATTATTAAATACAGCTTCGTTGGGATTCATTTATTTTCGTGCGAAGGACTCGTGCGAGTACAACGAGTACATGCGAGTACGAGTACAATAGCGCAGGTTTGAAGTACAATATATTTTAAATAGTTCTTTCGGATTGAAATCTTTTGTCTGACATAGAGTTATTGTGAATAACATAGAGTTATTGTGAATAGCAGGTACAATTTATATGATATCTAATATCAACATCCAAACTAACATCACCTTAAAATTTTTAATGTCTTGCCGTTCTTCAACACCGTTGTGTGTGTGCCAAAAACTGTTGTCACACAGAATATCTGCTCGTACATCTTTGTATTTCATAATCGTAGCAATTTTTGGTGAAGATGGTCTGGGTCAGTTCTTACCGTAAATGTCTTCATCTCGCACAGTTGGAACTTAGCGGAATACACTCAAAGCTCATTTTCCAGAATACTTTCTTACTTTCTGGCAATCTATATTTGCACAATTTTATATTCTTGAGACAGTTTCCATTGTCTTGACACAGTAAGAATTTCAGATAAATTTTCGTGTCAAGCTTTACGTTGTTATTTGTTCTTAAAGCAAAATAATGGTATGTTTTCGATTTGAATGAAGCAGTTTGCAAAGTTTGATGTAGGTAGCTTTCGAATCAATAATCATCGTATTATGTTCAGTGTGCCTGATTAATTTCTAGTTCGGACAAAGCATGTTGATATTTCTACACTAAAAATAATACAAATTTATAATGAAACAAAAAAAGCTTGAGTTATGTCCGCTTCTTATTGTTTACGTTGTAGAGTTTCTTTTTGATAATAGTCTTCACTTCATTTCGCTTCAGACGATTTTCGCTTTTCGGCTTATTTTCAATGTCCTGAATTTCCTATTCTTTAACTATGGTATATCAGCGCATCTCAGAGCTTACATTTAGCATTTGTGCAACAGCCATCTTAAAGTCAGTTGCTGTAGGTAAACTTGCATCTTTTAAATAATGGTGCAGTCAAAAGATTGGGAAGTGTCCGACAGTTATATTTTTACTTTAGCTGTTTTGTTTGGAAGAATTTTTGGTTATAATCATTTAAACTCAGAAAAGTTATAGGAAAATGATGAAGTCGGCATTGAATTACATACAGATGTGAGATTTATTATTTCTGTATATTAAGATTACATGAATTATTTTATGTGATTTTCTTGTTTGTCTACCTGGTATAGGTTGGGGAAAATATTTCATCAGCCTGTTGGAGCACTTTATAGGGTTATGCAGTTCTTTTTACTTAAGTATTAAGAAGTGATTTCTTACATCAAAATTTTTGGACATCTGTCACTTAAAATGATTTCCAATCTTTGAATGACGTCATTGGCGGAGGCCGAAGGTGTTCCACTACTTTTAACAGTAGCTTGCACCGTTATTGATTCTCTTTAACCGCTGACCTCCCTCTTCCACGTCTGCTTTTCATAAAATGCCATCCTTGCGTTTTAGTCGTTATACTTCGAACGTGTTATTCGATTTTTTTCCTCCTTTTCGTTCCAGAAAGGCTTCGTTTTCCTTGGCAAAATACTTCCGCAAATCCATAGTCAATTCTCTGTTTGGGTTGCAAAGATTTCTTTTTTAGGACCTTTGTACCATAACTGAGAAGTTTTAAATGAGCAGAGTTGCAGTTTAACTAGATATTTTTACCATATGTTTGTTTTTGGTATAAGCATTTTTTCAAAATATAAAAGTTTTATACAATCGTAACTCATCAAGTATAAGATAAAGAAAATTATTGCCTTCTTCGCGAGAAATTATTGCAGTATAGTGGTGTCCTTGTACATATTGTGAATCCTCATCAATGATAATCGTCATTTCTTACACTGAATATGTAAAGTTTATAATTTCTGAATGAAAAGTGTTGCTTTAATCGAAGGAATTCTTTAAATGATGTCCCATAGAATTAAACGAAAAATGAGGCGGATTACAAGGGTGTAAGGTGATGCCTAATTCTATTTTACAGTATCCATAATGATGCCACTTATAGCTTACTGAGGAGTGATTTAGTTTAAAAGTGTTAAAGCTCATTTCAGTTCTCATTATACCGCGGCATTCGTTCCAGAATGATGTTTTTTTTATCCGTATAGATGAATAAGGAATTTGTATAGGATCCATCACAAAGCGATTGAAATGCAATGAGTCTTACAAAATACTTCACGGCAAAAGAAACCCATATGGAACTTTAATTTTTGTATATATTTTAAATATTAGGACAAACCTTCAGAATTTTTTTTAGATAGCTGGAATTCATACACTTTGCGTTTACGTGAAACTAGCTTTTATAGAAGTATGTTGCATGCATCAAAAGTTGAAACGGGATGTGACTTAAGGATCAGTTTTTTGAACAATCCTGTCACTTTTTTGCAGTATTAATTAGTTCCTTTTGTTAATGTTGAAGTTACCCGAGCGCAGAAGTATTAACTTTTACTGATTTTCTTCTTTTTTTTCTAT